ATTCTTGGGTCTAGGTTCCAGATGCCAAACTTTAATTCTTTCAAACTCATTTAGTTTAGCTTCATAGCATTAATCTAGTCTGCGTCAGTTAAAGCTTCAACATAGTTCTTAGGTTCCATAGAAGAGAGGAATGCATAGAATGCACAGAAGTTTCTAAGCTGAGATCTGGTTTGAGTTCCTTTTGAGATATCACTCATAATTGCATCTATAGGATGAGACTTCTGATATTTCCATCGCTTAGGTGTAAAGTCCTTGACTGGATACAATCTTTCCTGATCATTGTTGACTGGTTCTTCTGTAGGAACTCGTTCTTGAGTCTCAGTTGGAACTTCAACAGGGTCTACCTCATTCGTATTTAGATTCTGTTCTTGAGGGGGAGTTCCTGGTGCATTCTCCATTTCTTGACCTTCATTTGATTCAGGATTCGTTTGCTCAGCAATTTCAACTTGCTTCTTCTGCAATGATGTTGATTCTTCATCTGGATTTGTCTTGCGTACAAGTCCAACTTCAAAATTATCATCACAATCCTGTACATTATTCAATTGTTCAGTTTCATCAAATATAATATGTACAGATTCCTCAATACACATTGTCCTTTTATTATAAACTCTATATGCTTTACTATTAGAGGCATATCCTAAGAATACAGCCTTATCACTACGTTAATAAAACTTTCCTAAGTTCCTTTTACCATTGTTATGAACAAAACATTTACAACCAAAAGATCTAAAGTAAGAAATATTAGGCTTTCTCCCTTTGATCAGCTCATAAGGAGTTTTGTTGGTGATGGCTCTAACTGATACTCTGTTCAGAATATAACATGTTGTATTCACTACTTCTGCCCTGAATTTCTTAGGCAGACCACTTGAGATCAACATTGTTCTAGCCATGTCTTCAAGGCTACTGTTCTTGAGTTCCACCACTCCAATTTGTTTTGGAGTTCTTGTGGCAGAGAAGTTGTGATCCATTCCGTGCTCAGTGCAAAAATTATCAAATTTTGAGTTTTCAAATTCAGTTCCATGATCTGATCTGAGGTGAATCAGTGGATTACCTATTCTTCTCTATTCTTTATTTACAAAAGCTACAAATTCATCAAATGTTTCATCTTTACTAACAAGAAAGAAAACCCAAGTAAACCTTGAAAAGTCATCAACAAAAACCATAACATATCTCTTACCACTTCTGCTTTGGATTATCATAGGACCACATAGATCTATATGAATGAGTTTTAACGGTCTTTTGGTACTTACCATTTTCTTGGTCTTATAAGAAATTCGAGTTTGTTTTCCTCTAACACAAGCATCACACACTTTGTCATACAGAAACTTAACACAAGGAAGTCCTTCCACTAGTTCCTTAGATCTCAATTTATCAAGTAAATTAAAGCTTGCATGGCCAAATCTCTTGTGCCATAATAGAGGATCATACTGAATGACACTAAGACATGTTAGACTGTTGTAAGGAACCTCGTTAAGATCCACAACATATGTGTTCCCTTTACGAGTTCCTTCTAAAATAATGTTCCCAGTGTCATTGTGAATGATTCTGCACTTATTGGAAGTAAAGCTTACAGAGTTACCTTTGTCACAAAATTGTGAAATACTTAACAAGTACAGTTGTGCTTGAGACCCTCGACCAAAAATACATTATCAATAGCATGGGAACTTGAACTTCTTACTTTGCCAATCGCAACTATATCTCCTGTCATGTTATCACCAAAGGTCATAGTTCCCCCATAGTAGGAATCCAGTGAGAGAAATCTAGATTTGTCTCCAGTCATTTGCTTAGAACAACCACCGTCAAGGTACCAAGTGTTGTTCCCCCTCACTGGAACCTGCATGAGAAATCAAACGTTAGTTTCAGGAACCTAGGTTTCCTTGGGTTCCTGTGTAACAGCATCAGGTTCATCATTCTTCTTGATCCAAATCGGTTCTACATGTTTTTCATTTTTCTGTGTACTCTTTTCTTTCTTAGGACACTTAACCTGTTTGTGTCCAGTATTGCCACAGAAATAACAAACAATACTACTAGACAGGAAAACATACTTTTTTTCCGTTTGGAACTTCTTTTTGAAACCAAAACCTTCTGTTCTCTTAGTTTAAGCTTTAGTGATCCAATCTGGAACTCTGTAGTCTATAGGTTGTTTACCTTTCCTGGCTTTCTCAAGTTCCCCCTCAAGTCTTACCCTATCCGCTTTTATATCTTCCAAATCAGATTTTAGTTTTTTAAAATTTGGATATTGAGCAATTGGAGGAACTTCAGAATCAGGAGTTTCAAGACAGAGTTTCATCAAGGATAGTTCCACATTTAACATTATGTTATCATGTTTCAACCTGTCTATATTTTCTTTCAAATAATTATTATCATCAAACAGACTAAAGAATCTATATTAAATGTCAAATTTCATATTATCGACCAACTCGCTGTTTTCTTTAAAAGTTACTAATGCTTCATCACTGTGTTGTTTAGCTCTATGTAATTATTTCAATTCTTCTTGAATTTCTAAAACAACAAATATTAAGTTTTCTTTAGAGAAATGTCTAAGTTGTTTTTGAGAAAACCATACCTCTGGTTCTAATTCCTTCAGTTTTGCTTTTTCATCAGTTTTTGCCATCAAGCATAGATGTGCAGTTTCTTCTGACGGTTGATCTTCCTCTTCCTCTGAATCTAAATCTCCCCAAGCAGCTAGCATGTCTTTCTTCACATTGTCCTTGGTGAAGTAAGGCTTATAGACTCTTGACTCTTTGGATTGCTCCGTGCCCTTTGTCTTTCCTTTCTCACTATCTGGTAGTGGACAATCTTTGATGAAGTGATCTTTAGACCCACATTTGAAACAAGTGGTGTTTCTGGAACTTGCATACTTCTTGTTCCTATCGAACTTCTTGTAGTTCATCATCCTTTTGAACTTTCTAACTAGCATTGCAATTTCTTCTAAGTCTTAAGCCTTAAGAGAAAGACTCTTGTTCTTGGAACTTTCAATGTTGGAACTCAAGTGAAGTTCATGAGTCATCAATGATCCAGCTAGTTGTTCCATGTTAAACTTCATGAAATCCTTGGCTTCTTGCATGGCAGTAACGTTGGATCTCCATCTTCATCTTGTGGTAGGCTTCTTAAGATCTTTCTATCCTGTTCATCAATAGGAATGTGTCTGCTAAGGGAGTTCAATTCATTAATAATATCATTGAATCTAGTAAACATTTCCTCTATTGATTCCTTTGATTGCATTTTAAACCTTTCATATCTAGACATCAATAAATCAATTTTAGAACGTTTTACCTCATTATTACCTTCATGAGTTACCTCTAGTAGATCCTAAATCTGTTTAGCAGACTTGCATCCCATGATACGATTATGTTCATGAGGTCGAAGTCCACATTGCAAATACTTTATAGCTAAAGCATTTAATTCAAGTTTCTGATAATCTTCCTTATCATAATCATAAATAAGTTTAGGAACTACCTCGTTCTTGTCATTGGTTGCAGTTATTTCAAAATCACCAGTATCAATAACACGCCAAACCTGGTAATTTTCAGCCTTGATAAAGATCTCCATCTTGTTCTTCTAGTAGGTGCAAAACTTACCATTGAACATGGGTGGACGTTGGGTGGAATACCCTTATTCAAGTTTCTCCTTGTAATTCATTTCTCCAGGAACTTACTCAGTAAAGTTATCTGCTTACACGTGAGAACCTTGCTCTGATACCAATTGTTAATTGAAATAACTAATACAAGAGGGGGGTGAATTGTATTGAGTTCCTAATGACTACTTTTTGCGGATTAATAAACAATGCATATAGGAACTTGCTAGAACACACAGATTTTACGAGGAAACCTTCCTGGGCCCAACTGGAAGTAAAACCTCAACCATACCTTAGGGATTTCAAACACACAAACTTCACTATAATAGGGTAAACACCAACTTACAACCTATTAGAGACTGACCTTTAGTTTCACAAGATCCTCACTGGACTTGCTACTTGATAGGACCCTATCCTACCCAACATAAGCACCACACTTAGATTCACTCGTACCACCAAAGTACTACACGTACTGCCAAAGTACAAACGCTTGCACTACCTAAGTACAAAACTCTCAGCCTCACCAAGAAGCTTACAAAACTGTATGCAAAGTAAACAGTAAAATCACCCAAATAACCCAACCCAATACAAGTGTACGACACCTAGTATGATAAGTAAGCAATGCACGAAATCCGAAACTAATATGACAAGTTAGAATCTTGGTAAACTTACACAATTATAGCACAATGATTTCTCCACGCATAAACTCACAAATACCTCAAACCATTTTGCTCTCTACTATTTATACAAGTAACACTCGTATATAAATTAGGTTTTCTAAAATATAAATAAGTTAAGTTAACTTATCTTTAAAACACGCTTTTATGTAAATCAAGTGGAATAAAATCTTTTCCGGAAAATAAAGATATAAGGATATTTTGTTAAAAAGAATTATCTTTTTAACAAACCGATTTAAAGGAAATAAAACTTTTAGAAAATCTTTTCCTAAAATCTATCTTTTATTACTTTCCATATTATTTTATTTACCAAGCTAACTTGTCATGCTTCTCATAAATTTCATGCAATAACATACTTAACATATTAACAATAATCTAAAAGATAAAAACCTTAACTAAAATAATTGCTGCGCTGCGCCTTTGTTCAGGTAAATTACTTGGGCTATAAGCTTATTAAGTTCCACCAAAGAACTTAAGCTTGATGTCTTCAAGTTCCTGTTAGGGAACGTTCCTGTTAGGGAACTTAGTTCTTGTTAGAGAACATTTCTTCTAATTTGTTTAACTTCTTTGATAAAGATCTCTTCATGTCTTCTTAGTTCAAGCTACTTCTTCCATGACCATGATCAACTTCACCTAAACTAATCAAACACTTGAAAACCTTTATTAGTCGAGTTTGCTTTAGTTTAAATTCCTCATCATCAAAACCTTTATGCTTCAACAAGGAGCATCTGATTAAGCTCCCAACAATGGTCAGCCCAAAGCTGAGGGAAAAGTTGCAACTGTACATCTCTGCGTCAATACATACAATCACAGTCGTTCTACTGGTGGAAAGACAAAAGCAGCAAAGGCCAATATACTTCGTGAGCAATGTGTTGACTGAGGCAGAAAAAAGGTACCCATTGGTAGAGAAGCTGGCTTTCGCAGTGGTCACAACATCAAGGAAACTAAAACCATATTTTGACGCGCACGTAATACAAATCCTCACAAATTACCCACTAGAAAAAGCGTTACAGAAAATGGATACATCAGGCAGACTCCTAAAGTGGGCAATTGAACTTTCTAAGTACGAATTCGAGGTCAAACCTAGGGCAGCCATTAAGGCACAAGCCTTAGCGGAATTCATAGTGGAAGCCTCCTATGAGGATAAAGAGGATGATATTCGGGTCTGGAAGGTGGAAGTTGATGGGTCCTCAGCCCAAACGGGAAGTGGAGCAGGAGTCATAATGACATCTTCAGAGGGAAATTTATTCGAGTACTCCATAAAGTTCAAGTTCAAAGCATCAAAAAACGAAGCAGAGTACGAAGCAGCGCTGGTAGGCTTGCGTATGAGCATTGCAGCGGGAGCCAGCAAAGTACATCTGCAAACATATTCTCATCTCGTCGCCAGCCAATTGCAGGGAGCGTACGAGTTTAGAGAAGCCGCCATGCTGAAATATGTAACTAAAGTAAAGGAGCTGGCAGCCCAGCTAATCCACTTTCAAATAGACTTAGTTCCAAGTGCAGGAAACTCCCAGGCTGACGCTTTATCTATGTTAGCAAGTTCCACGTTACAGAGCCTCACAAGGACATTGATGGTTGAGGTCTTGGAGGAAAGCAGTATTACCGAAAAAGAGCAGGTAAACTGCATTGGGCAGCAGAGGGCTTGGTTTTCAAACATTCTGGTGTACAAAGTTCATGGCTAGCTGCCTGATGACGAAGTACATGCTAAGAAGGTGAAGAAGGATGCCAATTGGTATGTGGTGATGAATGGGGAGCTCAACAAGAAAGGCTTTACAAAACCACTGCTGAGGTGCATCCTAGAGTGGGAGCAGGAAGGCATTATGGAAGAATCCCACTCGGGAATATGTGCTAACCACATTGGTGGAAAGGCGTTGGGAGTAGAAGTCCTCAGAAGGGGGGCATACTGGCCAACTCTCACGCAAGACGCGCTAGCATATGTGAAAAAATGCGACAAGTGTCAAAAGTATTCACCAGTTATAAACAAACAAGCAAATGATCTAACTCCAATCCTCAGCCCGATCCCGTTTCCTCAGTGGGGAATGTACATAATAGGACCTTTCACCACTGGGTCAGCGGGCAGGAAGTATCTCATCGTGGCAGTGGATTACTTTAAAAAGTGGATAGAAGCTAAACCCACTAAGTACATAAAGGCAGCCCAAGTAAGGACATTCATATAGGAAAACATCATCACAAGATTCGGTGTGCCGCAGTGCTTAGTCTTTGATCATGGATGTCAGTTCGATTGTGACACCATCAAGGATTATCTGGAAGACATGGGCACCAAGTATGCAAGTGCCTCAATCTGCCATCCGTAGAGTAATGGCCAGGAAGAAGCAGCAAACAAGCTGATCCTAACAGGCTTGCAAAGGAAGCTGGATGAATACAAAGGCCTATGGGAAAACCTAATCCCAGAGGTCTTGTGGGCGAACAAAACCATTGAGAAGGAGTCCACTGGTAAAAGCCCTTTCACCCTGGCCTATGGGGCTGATGTAGTCGTCCTAGTGGAAGTGCAAATTCCCTGCCTGAGGATACAGCACTATGAGCAACAAGGAAACGAAAAGCGCATGCTAGAAGAGCTAGATTTCCTACCAGAAGTAAGGCTAAAAGCAGCTCTTAAGCTGGCAGCCCAGAAGAGCAGGATTTCAAAAGCATTCAACAAGAGGGTCAAGCATAAAGAGCTCCTGCCCGGAGATTTATTCCTTAGAAGGACAACAGCAGTGGGAAGAGGAAATCAGCACGGAAAGTTGTCAGCAAACTGGGAAGGCCCTTTCATCATTCACGAGCAGGTTGGACCTGGGGAATTCCTCCTCGCAGATCAAGAAGGTTAGGTCTTAAGAAACAGTTTCAATGCTGATATGTTAAAGAAATATTTTGTTTAAATAGCCTGAAAAAAACAAATATAGTTGTTTCAAGTTTGATAAACCTTTATTCAGTTCATGTTATGTTAATTAAGGCATTTGAGCCATTTTTATTCAACGAAATACAAGCCTCTACGTGAGGAGTATGTTGCGTAAATCTGTTTAATGTGTTATGCCCCAGCATCATATGCTAACATGTAGAAGTCAAACAAGAATAATAATAAAGTGTTAGAGGAAAAAAGCACTCCAGCGCAAAGTGGAAAATTAACACATCCCTCCCTGAGACCTCACCTCACCTGCTCAGAGTAAAACAGGGCGCCACCTCGGGGAGGCCTAGCACGTTCAACTTGAGCAGGGGAGATAAAGGGAAACGAAGAAGATAAGCTACGTGGGCAACACTAAGGTTCTATTAGTCCCACCTAGCTCACCTCTTTGAGAGGGAGAGGAAAGGGGGAGATAGACATACAATAAGCCCTTACAAAGAGAAGTAAGTGGCACAAAACAACAAGTCGTAGCATAAACAAGCTGAAAGAAATAAAACAAGTCACAGCACAAACAAGCTGAACAACACAAAACAAGTCGCATCAAAACAAGCTGAATGACATAAGACGAGTAATTAGAAAGCTGATTGACACAAATAAGTCTCAGCAAAGCAAGCGGAATAACGCCCAGACAGGCAACAATCGAATAAACTAACCAGCGTGCAAGCAAACCTCTATTAGAGTTAAACAGAGTGCACAATGCATAAACACTCAAAACAAATAGAACATGAAGAATAAAATTCGCTAAAGTTCCTGCCAAAGCACAGCAGAGAACAAAGAAGAAAAAAAGCGCTCAGCAGCCAAATCAAGAAGACAAGGAGGCCCAACCTACGAGGCTTCACCAAATGTAATAAAGAAGCTGCTATGCTAAAAGATCTAGATACTGATATGGAATACTCAGTTCTAGGCAAATGTGCAGGCAACGAAATAAATAGCAGGCAAAACAGCAAAAGAAGATCACAAAGTGCGTACAATATAAAGCTGAACCCCTGCCCACCAGGGAAGAGTAAACATTCAGCAGGTCAGTTACAATATATGCAAAGTTGAGCCCTCGTCCACCAGGACAAGGAAACACTCAGCAAGTAAAGTCAAGAAAGCACAAATTCAAGTTAAGCTGGGCAGACGCAGCTGTATAGGATAGCTCCCGCTGAACTATCGCCCAGCCCCCAAGGTGCGCACTCACTGCCGAGAAAGCAATTAAAGGAGGGCTCACCAGCCCGATAAAGTCAGCTCGCGCTGAACTCTCCACGAAGGAGATGGTACGCCTATAAATAGAGGGTAAAGAACAACGGAAAAGAGGTTAGACACTCAATTTACTATACTTTACACATCTTTCTAAGTACACTTTCTCTCTCTAAAACACTCTCTAACTTAAGCTTTGGAGCGGGGTTCCTCGAGCCACCTCCGAAGGCAAATTACGTGTGCTGCCTTGTGTAGGTAGTTGACGGAACCCTGCTCACCCAATAGAACCCTTGGATCCACACTTGGAACAATTGGCGGTAGAAGGAGGGGAAGGATCATCTAACCTGAGGTTTACCAACTGAGCAGGGACTAGTTAACTAACCACCAATGCCGGAGAAGAAACTGTACCGACACCAATGTCCAAAACTAATGAGACCAACCAAACACCACAAAAAACACCCCCAGTAACCCTCGATAAAAAAAGATCCACTGGAAATCCCAAATCAACCATCTCGTAGAAATCCAACCTCATCGGATCAACATCGGCTGCTGCTAAAGCGGTGTTGAAACTAGTACACCCGGCAGGATCCAGTTCCATTTTCAAATACGGAATGTCGTTAACAGGCGCGAACAATGAGCTTATTATTTCACCACCTGTAACCAAGAAACCACAGCCCGTAAATATGCCAGCCATTCTGCAAAACCTCTATAAGTGCAGTAAGGAGCAGATGGCTGCAATGACGGCGGTCCTCACCAATATGGGAAAGGGGGGGAGTCCGTCACAGACAACGGCAACTGCGGAGCTCGCAGCGAAGAAGTCAGCGTCCTCAGCCCTCACCCCTGAGCAAAAAGAGCTCATTCAGCTGAGGAAGAAGGTATTGGAGCTGGAAGCTTGTAACCTGAATCGAGAATGGAGCGTGGAAGAAATAACTCCATCTCGAACCAGCCCGGAGAAGCGGGTCCCTCGTAGCAGGTCGCCAGCCTTAGAGCGAGGACCCAGCCCAGAGAGAGAGACAAACGAGCGCGAATCCAGGTTGTTCCAGATGATTCCCCATTTTGCCGGGAGATTCTAGAGGAACCAATGGAGAAGGTAAAGATGTCAAGCTGCAGATACAATGGAACCACAACACCCAAAAGCCACATATCAGCTTTTGAGAACCATATGGTACTTAACACTATGATCGACTTAGTCTGGTGTAAGGCTTTCCCGCCGACCCTGGAGGGGCTGGCAGCGGAGTGGTATGGAGCCATTCCCAAATGTTCCGTATACTCGTACAACCAGCTACAGAGAATGTTCATGGAGCATTTCATAACCCTGGTAGACCGAACTAAGATGACAACCAAGCTGATGTCATTAGTTCAAGGGAAAGACGTGCCCTTGAGGGAGTTTATCACCAGATTTAACAAGGAGGTGCCAACCATCCCAAATATAAGTCAGGAGGTAGCGCTACTAGAAATGCAGAGTGGCTTACTACTAGGATCACCATTCAGAGCGTATATGGGGCGTAAGAGCCTCAAGACACTTGCTGAAGCGCTAGGTAAAGCGCACGAGTTCATCAAAGCAGACGAGACTGACAGAGCAATGCCTGGTAGGAAAGCACCCGGTGACTAAGTTAAGCGGGCAGAGGTCACCCGGGCAGAGAACACACCCAGGGCGGACCAGCCGAGTAGGGCTGAACAAAGTCGCAGAGAAGCGGACAGGGTAGTGGGACTGAGAAGGTCAGATCCAAAGAGAGGGCCAAAGCCTGGGAAGATCGACCAATATACCCCACTAACCCATTCCAGGTCTCATATATTCAGCGTAAATAAAGCTGATGATAAGTGGCAGAGACCCCCGAGGATGGTTAATAAGAACCGTGATGCCAACAAGTGGCGTGACTTCCATAGGGACCGTGGCCACACCACTGAGGAATGCACACACTTGAAGGATAACATAGAAGATTTATTCAGGAGAGGGTACTTGAATCAGTTTAAGCAGCGCGATGACCCTCCCAGAAGGAGGGATGAGGATAGAAGAGGCCGCGCTAACCGCAGAGGAGGTCATGGGGGTCCAGCCGAGGACAGAGAAAGAGATGGCAAGCAAGAGGGCAGGGTGTATGTGATTAGCGGGGGTCCAATGCATGGGGGAACAGTTAACAGAGCATGGGCTGACCTGCGTGCAATGATACACCAGATAAACGACAATGATAAGCGTAGGTGGCCACCTCTTCCCCCGCAGCCACGAGCCACGTTTGACGAGTATGACCAGAAGGGCATAACTTACCCTCATGATGACCCGCTGGTAGTGACAATGAGAATTGCAAACTGGAAAGTGGATAGGATATTGATAGATGGAGGCAGCTAAGCCAACATCATATACATCAGCGCGTTCAACAAGCTGAAGTTGGAGAAGAAGGATCTAAAGAGGGTGAGTTACGAAGTCACCGGGTTTAATGGATCAGGGCTTACCCCGGAAGACATAATCGCGCTCTCATTCCGAGTAGGTGAGAGATCAAGAACGCGTGATGTTCGAGCAGAGTTCCTTGTGATAAACTCTCCCTCACCCTACAATTTGATTATGGGAAGAACGCTCATCCACAAGATAGGGGGGTGGTATCCACCTATCACCTTGCCATGGCCTACACAACTAATGAGGGACAGTCAGCAAAGCTCATGGGAAGTAAGAAGATAGCTCAACAATGTTACATTACTGCCCTAAAGCAGCCCGCAAAAACCAGAAAGGAGCCTGGTTCCGAGAGAAGGCCCATTGAGCAGGCTGAGAGGAAGTCGAGGAAAAGGAAGCGTTAAGAATATCACAAGGAAAAGGATAAACAGATGTTAGTAATGGAAAACTTCGAGCCTGTAAAAGAGGAGATGGCTAGACCACTCCCAAGTGGGGAGCATGTCACAGTCGAGCTCACAGAAGGTGACCCCTTGAGGACGGTGAAAATTGGAAAAGACATTGATCCAGGAGTAGGGGTACACCTCATAGAGCTGAGAACAAGGATATTTTCGCATTTTTCGTAGATGAGATGCCCGTAATTGACCCTGCAGTCATGGTACACAGGCTGAATGTGAAGGAGGATATTAAGCCAGTTAGGCAGAAAAGGCGAAGCTTTTCCACGGAGAAGAATCAAGCAACCCGGGAGGAGGTAGAAAAACTCTTGGAGGCAGGATTCATTGAACCTTCTAACTACCCAGAGTGGTTAGCCAACGTGGTCATTGTGAAGAAAGCAAATGGCCAGTGGAGAATGTGTGTTGATTTCACAAATCTCAATAAGGCATGCCCAAAAGACTATCACCCGCTGCCGCGGATTGATCAGCTAGTAGACTTAACCAGCGAGCACGCCCTACTAAGCTTTATGGACGCCTTCTCAGGATACCATCAGATCAGCCTACATGAACCAGACCGGCAGAAAACCACGTTCATCACCGAAGGGGGAGTGTATAATTACATAGCTATGCCCTTCGGGCTAAATAATGTTGGGGCAAGCTTTCATATTGCAATGGGTAGAGTGTTCCTTCACCAGAAGGGTAGAAATGTTGAAGTATACGTTGACGACTCAATTATTTAGAGCGTCACGCAGGCAGGGCATATCATGGACTTGGAGGAAACATTTGCCACCCTGAACAAGTATAAAATCAAAGTCAACCCGAAGAAATGTGTCTTTAGAGTGAGCTCGGGAAAGTTCTTGGGTTTTCTGATCAGCGAGAGAGGGATAGACGCCAATCCAGAAGAGGTCGAAGCAGTCCTCAGCCTGCCTGAGCCTAAGTGCATCAAGGATATCATGCCGTTGACGGGCAGGATTGCCGCGCTGACCAGGTTCATCAGCAAGTTAGCGGATAAGGCTTTGTCATTCTATCAGCTATTGAAAGGGAACAGAGAATTTAAGTGGGGAGCTAAAGAAAAAGAAGCCTTTGAGGGTATTAAGGAGCATCTGACTAAGCTTCCAACAATGATCAGCCCGGCGCTAAGGGAAAAGCTACAGATGTACATCTCTGCGTCAATATAGACAATCGCAGCCGTTCTGTTGGTGGAAAGACAAAAGCAACAAAGGCCAATATACTTCGTGAGCCATGTGCTGACTGAGGCAGAGCAAAGGTACCCATTGGTAGAAAAGCTGGCCTTTGCAGTAGTCACAACAACAAGGAAACTAAAACCATATTTTGATGCACATGTAATAGAAATCCTCAGAAACCACCCACTGGAGAAACCGTTACAAAAAAAGGATGCATCAGGCAGACTTCTAAAGTGGGAAATTGAACTTTCTAAGTACGAATTCGAGGTCAAACCTAGGGCAGCCATTAAGGCACAAGACTTAGCGGACTTCATAGTGGAAGCCTCCTATGAAGAGAAAGAAGATGATATTGGGGTTTGGAAGGTGGAAGTAGAAGGGTCCTCAGCCCAAACGGGGAGTGGAGCAGGAGTCATAATGACGTCTCCAGAAGGAAACATATTCGAGTATGCCATAAAGTTCAAGTTTAAAACATCAAAAAAGGAAGCGGAGTACGAAGCGGCGCTGACAGGCCTGCGTATGAGCCTCACAGCTGGAGCCCGCAAAGTACACCTGCAAACTGATTCTCAGCTCGTTGCCAGCCAACTGCAGGGAGCGTACGAGATTAGGGAAGCCGCCATGCTGAAATATGTAACCAAGGTAAAGGAGCTGGCAGCCCAGCTAGTCCACTTCCAGATAGACTTGGTTCCTAGAGCAGGAAACTCTTAGGCGGACGTTTTATCTAAGTTAGCCAGTTCCACATTACAGAGCCTCGCAAGGACAGTGATGGTTGAAGTCCTAAAGGAAAGCAACATTACTAAAAAGGAGCAGATAAAATGCATTGAAAGGCAGAGAGCCTGGTTCTCAGACATCCTGGCGTACAAAGTTCACGGTTCACTGCCCGATGATGAAGTGCAGGCTAAGAAGGTGAAGAAGGACGCCAACTGGTATGTGGTGATAAATGGGGAACTCAACAAAAAAGGCTTCTCAAAGCCACTACTGAAGTGTATCCCAGAGTGAGAGCAGGAGGGCATTATGGAAGAAGCCCACTTAGGAATATGCTCTAACCACATTGGTGGAAAGGCATTGGGAGTAGAAGTCCTAAGAAGGGGGGCATATTGGCCAACTATATGTGAAAAAATGCGACAAGTGTCAAAAGTATTCATTAGTCATAAACCAGCCAGCAAATGATCTAACTCCAATCCTCTCCCGTTTGCTCAGTAGGGAATGGAATATTGAGACCTTTCACCACTGGGTCAGCAGGCAGGAAGTATCTCATTGTGGCAATAGATTACTTTACAAAGTTGATAGAAGCTGAACCCACTAAATACATAAAGGAAGCCCAAGTCAGGACATACATATGGAAAAACATCATCACAAGATTCGGTGTGCCATAGTGCATAGTCTTCGATCATGGATGTCAATTCGTCTGTGACACCATAAAGGACTACATGGGGGACATAGGCACCAAGTATGCAAGTGCCTCAGTCTGCCACCCGCAGAGCCATAGCCAGGCAGAAGCAGCAAACAAGTTGTTCCTAACAGCCTTGCAAAAGAAGCCGGAGGAATACAAAGGCCTATGGGCAGACCTAGTCCCAGAAGTCTTGTGGGCAAACAGGACTACTGAGAAGGAGGCCACTTGTAAAAGCCCCTTCACCCTGGCCTACGAGGCTAACGCAGTTGTCCTAGTGGAAGTGCAAATCCCCAGCCTGAGGATACAACACTGTGAGCAACAAGGAAACGAAAAGCGCATGCTGGAAGAGCTAGATTTCCTGCCAGAAGTAAGGATAAAAGCAGCTCTCAAGCTGGCAACCTAGAAGATTAGGATTTCAAAAGATTTTAACAAGAGGGTCAAGCAAAGAGAGCTCCTGCCCGGAGACTTAGTCCTTAGAAGGACAGTAATAGTGGGAAGAGGAAATCAACATGGAAAGCTGTCAGCAAACTGGGAAGGCCATTTCATCATTGACGAGCAGGTTGGACTAGGAGCATTCCTCCTTGCAGATCAAGAAGGTCAGGCCTTAAGGAACAATTTCAATGCTGATATATTAAAGAAGTATTTTGTTTAAATATCCTGAAAAAACAAATATAGTTGTTTCAACTTCGATAAACTTTTATTCAGTCCATGTTATGTTAATTAAGGCATTTGAGCCATTTTTGTTAAATGAAATACAAGCCTCTATGTGAGGAGTATGTTGCGTAAATTTTTTTAATATGTTATGCCCAAGCATCATATGCTTACATGCAGAAGTCAGACAAGAATAATAATAAAGTGTTAGAGGCAAGAAGCACTCTAGCGCAAAGTGGAAAAGTAAAAGCATCCCTCCCTAAAACCTCACTTCACCTGCTCAAAGCAAAACAGGGCACCACCTCAGGGACACTTGAGGGGGAAGTCTGACGTTCAGCTTGAGAAGGAGAGAAAAGGGGAAAAGAAAAAACTGAGCTATGTGGGAAACACTAAGGCTCTCTTAGTCCCACTTAGCTCATCTCTTTGAGGGGGAGAGGAAAGGAGGAGACAACCATACAACAAGCCCTTACGAAAAGAAGTAAGTAGGCACAAAATGACAAGTCGCGGCATAAACAAGCTGAACGACATAAATAAGTTACAGCAAAACAAGCTGAATGACATCTCACAAAATGA